GAGGGAACAACTGGCAGGCAGAGGCCTCCTTCAGGAGTGAGACAAATGTGAGGGATTTTAGCCCCAGGGTACAGGCTTTTGAGGCATTTTAGCTGGCCTGAAGATCCAATGAGGGATTTTAGCTAGTCTAGTACATGCAGGTGAGGGAATTTGGCTGGTGAGAGCACTGCCTTGAGGGAATTTGGCTAGTCTACACGGCCCTACTACAAAGGAATGCATGTGCACCTACAAAGGAATTCAATATGCACTATGTGCCAATAAAGGAATTCAATACAACACAAAGGAAATCAATATTCAATATGCATCCAGTATTCAAAACAAGCCATACTGAGAGTAAAGAATCCAAAAGATATCCCGTGACAGGTTGAAATCTGTGTAACTTCTAAACCATGAGAGATATGGGGTCAGTTGTAGTGGGTGACTAGGGGTAATTTTACCTGAGAAATCCATTTCTGATTTTATTTTTACCCTAAATTTAATATGTAAAGAGATAATAATAAATTTTTATATTTTCTGTGTAGAAACACAGTATTATTTACCACACCGTCAACCCTACCTGAAACCATGTATCCTTTTTAAACAATAATCCAGAAGTCACAACATGTGCCTTGATGTATGCCTGAAGATCCTTACAACTCTTAGCATCCTTCTGTTGCTCACTTTTGTTCAGATTTCACTTTATTGATGTAGAAGTTGGTAACTGTGTCTTCGGAACAATTCATGGAGTTTGACCTCTGGGGTCATCCTCAACAAATTCTCTTTGCGTCTTGACTTAGGTCGATCCCCTATCAGCCATACTTAGACCAGTCGACTCAATGGTAGATTACACCCATTCCTCTCTGGAACACATCTTGCGACTTTTGCATTAAACTTTGACAAACTTTAAGTGTTATTACATATTTCCTTTTTAAAGCCTAAATTACCCATTACCTCTGATGCAGCAACCTAGGACCAGTTGTCTATGGCTTCAGATTGAACTGTTGGTCTTAGGATTATTTCCACAGTTTGACAATGCCTGATTGCCAAGTCTAGCCTTTATTAATACCAAACCTGTTCCTTTTCCGGATTGACCCTCTACTTATTATTCATTGACTTAATAAATTAAACCTCTGACTCTTTTTTATGCAGTAATCTGTTAGACATAGAATTTTCACCAGTCTGAATTGCTTGAATCATAACTGACACAACTGATCAATGTCAGATTCTTTGGCCTTAAATAGTCTCTTAGACCACAGTTAGTTTGTGGAATAAGTTAAAAGAATAGTTCTAGATGTTAGAATGGATTTGACAAGTTTGTGGAGGAAAATTTCCAGCATTGAATTTGGAGTGGGTTGAATAGTGTTGAGAGCTGAGGCGGGCCGGAAGAGGACTGTAAGATAGCGCGGCATTGTAAGTTCAAACAAGGAGTGGAGGTCTATCAAGAGAGTTAAAGTGAGTATAGTGAGTATATTTAGGGACAGGATAGGAAATTTAGAAGTCCGACTAACTGCAACAAGGAAGCAGTGTTTTTTTTGACTGAACACATGACCAGAGATCCAAATGGGGTCGCCCAGATTTAAGTCAAAGAGTTGAGTTGGAGAGATAGACTCAGGAAAAATAAGGATGAGGTTGAGACTCTGGCGCAGGATGAGCATAGAACCAACAGACAAACATGAAGGAAGAGGACTTATGGTGAGTTGATGAATTGGCTGAACTTCTACGGTAGGCAATGTGCTCAGGACAAGGAACCACCCATGAACATGGGGGGCACGGTTGAAAATGAAATTGAGGAGAGAGGGTAGCAGGGTCAGGTGAGGGGCAGGAATGGTAGTAGGAGTTTAGGGTGCGTTGACAGTTGGGAGAGGAATTGGGGAAATCAGGAAAATAGACAAAA